TTTAAAAACACTTTTATATGTATATTATTATATAAATTATGATTAAAAAAGATAAAATGAACCAGTACATGTTCAATATTTTTACTCTTTATTGCGAAATGTTGTTTAAGAATACACAGAATCTTTGTATATAGCACCCAGTAAGAGGTCATGTCGGAGCTGAAACGAACGTATTATCTAAAACTTCCTGTTATTTTAATTATATCCAAAGCGATTTTGCTAATAACATAGCATAATACCTTACATAGTTCACATTTATAAAGATAATTTGGACTGAAGTGTACAAATTAATAAAAAAAGATGTGTGTCGGTTTGAATCAAAATAAGGCTCTTTGTCAATTTATAAGCAAATTAGGCATGAAACCAACTCTTTACAACTTCCTGACAAACAACGGATAATTTTAGGACTGTAATGCATGGTATATACGACGTCGCCCTAGATATGATACACAATAGTATATGTCACGTTTTATTCTCACTATGCATGTATTTACCTGATCGGGAAGTAAGACAATTGTTAGACTTTCCTAATATAAACGATGTTCACGCGCTGGTTTGAAAAATGCTTTATGTAATATCAGATCAAATCATCCATCAGTAATGTTGGTATAGGGTTATATAATCAGCATGAGATAATGCAACTGCATGCATCGCGAGGTTTATAGTATACTTGCCCAAAGCGGACAAACCTACGAACAGTGAAATATCATGTCCATTTCTCAAACATCAAATCGGTTTTCTCAAATACGAAGTCCATTTTACCATAGCCTATCGAAGGGAAGATGGCTGTGAAACTCATTAGAATAACAATATAACTCATTATCTATGTTAGTCAACGTTTATTAATAAATCTAGTCCTTCACCGTCACATGTGTATTGTATTTTTGCCAAATCCACCAATAGCAATTTCCAATTTCCCTATTATGGTGTTCGAGTCACGGATAGGTATAACTTTCCTAAAATATTGCTATTGGTTAGTTGGGCGAAAATACAATGCACACGTGACGGTGAAGACCAGATTTATGAATAAACGTTGACTAAACATAGATAATGAATAGATAATGAGTTATATTGTTATTCTAATGAGTTTCACAGTAATCTTCCCTTCGATAAGCTATGATTTAACAATATTGGGTCCATTTTACCACATAATTAGCAAGAACGAATTCGTATTTTTTTGGTAAAATGGACTTGATATTTGTAAAATGAGCTTGATATTTGTAAAATGAGCTGGAAAGTTGTCAAATCGACTTGATGTTGGAGAAATGGACTTGATATTTTAATGTTCGTAATTTTGTCCGCTTTGCATGGACAAGCATATTTATGGCTGAGTCACATTTTTCAAAAACACTTTTATATAGATATAAATTACGATTAAAATGCTTAAAATGAACCAGTACATGTTCAATATTTTTACTCCGATCTTTTGCGAGATGTTGTTTAAGAATATACAGAATCTTTGTCGGGTATATAGCAACAGTAAGGGGTCATGTCGGAGCTGAAACGAGCGTACTATCTAGAACTTCCTGTTATTCTAATGAGTTTCACAGTCATCTTCCCTTCGATAGGCTATATGATTTTACTAATATTGGGTCCATTTTACTAATATCTGTACACTTTTCGAAATATACACTCAAATTTGAAAACATATGTGATGAAAATGTGGGCATTTTTCAATTAAAGCAACTATTTACCTTAAATTCCCTCCCCCCCCCTCTCCCCCCAAACAATGTTAGTTTAGGTAAAGTGGATTTGCAACACATGTCATCTAAATACCAACATTGTATAAGGGGGGAAGGGGACAAAGTTTGAAAATTTAAGAAGTCTACTAATTCTTTTCCAGGATTGAAGTCCATTTCATAATTTATTCAATGATGGTGCAGTAATTTCTTCAACATCGCACAAAAACATGACGGAACGTGATATGAAATGATTTGGTAACACTATTCAGCAAAGGAATCAAGGAAGTTTCATAATAAATTGTCCTCAACGAATCAACGGGGCATGTAATAGCTACGGTAATGAGTCCGTCTTTGAGATAAATACCCACGCTAACTCCTCGTTTTATGAGTGAAATTTAACTCCGCTAAGCTCATATAGCTTTAAAGCTCTTTTCTTGTGACCCTTTTATCTTGTGACCCTATTTAGCGTTGGTTTTTCGAAATTAACAAGCGAATTTATTGGTTAAAACGCCATGTTTATTCGATTGTTGAATAAATTACTACATAATCATACATTCATTGAATAAATTATGACCTAATTAACAAGATCGACTTCGTATTTTTTGTAAAATGGACTTGATATTTGTAAACTGAGCTTGATATTTGTAAAATCGACTTGATGTTGGAGAAGTGCATGGACTTGATATTTTACTGTTCGTAATTTTGTCCGCTCTGGGCAAGCATACGAATAGAAATTCCGCGACATGTTTTTGTAACAATTTAAATTCCGTGACAGGGCTCTGCTGTTATACTTTTGTCAAAATGCAAAATACATTTATTTTAAAATTCAAATGTAATTTTATAACAACGGCCAGTGTAAACTGCGTAGTTTGCATTCGAGGAGTACCTAGTATAGTGATTTGTCAATTGTCATATTTAAAATGTATGCATCTACCGTTAGCTCATTGACCACTTAGCTTCTATATTCTATAATAGTGTCAGACGGGTTTAAATATTATTTGTATGTGCATGCCTTTTGGCATTGTTATGAAATTACATTTATCTAACATAAATGTATTTCAAAATTTCATAAACAACAACTATGGAACTCAGAGAAATGTAACGGAATTTAAATTGTCACGGCAAAAAAATGTCGCGAAGTTTGCATTAGCAGCCATTAGCGCGTTTTACGTTCACCGCAAAGTAGATTAGTTTGGTACGGGTTTTGAACGAGGACAATGCCAACTCAATTATTAACAATTATTGGATAAGGTTTTTGTGATATGCGGAATTATCGAGGTCGAGGTAAGCGTTATCAGTCAAGCCGAGGGCGAGGCTGATAACGCTTACCAAGACCTTGATAATTCCGCATATCACAAAAACCGAATTCAATAATTGTTTTATTAATACATTTGTTTGTGTTACTGATAGATACTGCTTGCTAATCATCGCAGGCTCATTTGCAGATAACTCAGTTATCTACTAGCAGATAACTGAATTTTCTGTAGGTTGCGTGATTGCGCGATTTAACTGTAAGCTCTTAGCCAATCAAATTGCTTTTACCAACTACAATGTATAACAATTATAATTATTTGCAACAATATATGAAAGTGCATGGCATGTATTGCGAACTATAATATGCGTCGGCCTTTTTTGGTCATGTAATAAACTTTACATAGTAATAAATAGCTAACAGCATAAATATTAATAAACAGCTTGGAAAAATGAACCAGCATACATAGTTACCAGTATAATTATATAGGCTATATAATGGAATGTTGTTTGAAAGATAAGAGTGGCTGGTAATTATATCATTTTCTATATAATGCGTCAGAGGCCAGGTTCAATCAAGTCCGAGCTGAAGCGAGGTGCTCTCTACAACATCCTGTTGTCGTAGAGTAACATTCAAAACTATTATTAGATCGGAGCTGAAACGATCCATTATGACAATTGTTTTAATTGTTCACGTTATCAATACAGAAGGAGTTATAAACAGGGTTTCCTAGCTTGCCTGTCAGATGCGTTCAATGTTTGATGGTGAACAGTTGTAGATTGACAAGACATTTAATTGGTGGACCAAAAAGCCGTATCAGTTTTCATATTCTTCAAGATCGCGTGGGCCACGTAAGTTTTTATTTCGTTCTGATTAAGATTACTTAAGCCTGGTTTCCATATGGTCGTAACGGTCGTAAAGATTGAGTCACGATTTTTCTCATCGGCCGAAATACAACATTTTAGAACTGAAAATACGCGGAGTGATTATAACTAGAGAATACTTATGAATTATATGTGGTTTCCAGGTATAAACAATAAAAATAGGTCCGCAACGCGTACATGTGTCTCTCGCCCGAATGTACAGACTGTGCGTTCCCTCTTGTTGTACGGTCACAACATTATCGTGGGGGCATAGTCTGGGGTTATGTTTGTTTGCCTAAATTTCAAGTCCTTGAAAGCTGTTTGTTCCAACAACTGGAATAACAACTGAGAGGTTCAATCCAAGTTCGTTTTGATGCGATAACCAAACAAGTAGAAGGTGCTATAATTAAGCAAGTAGGGCAAAAAGGCAAAGCAATTCCCAATTATTTAATTTTTTGTAATTCAAGCTGCTCATTGATTGCAACCTAACGGCTAACACACAGAAACTTACAAGACCAATGGCAATATATCGTATTGTATATATCAAGTGTGTATGTTGATAGTACATCAGGATTCAGGAGAAAATTGCAATAAAGAATTACCAGTATAAATCAATCCTAAAGCAGGCACAAATATACCAATTATTGAAAGAGTGCATACTGTATTTATATGCTGCTGTTCACTAATAGTCAAACCATTACTTAATTAAAACACACGTCTATCATACGCCTTTTTAGAATGTACATAACCAGGGACGCCCGAAGATCGATAATTGGGGGGGGGCAGATATTCATATATTCCTGTTCTGCCCAATTAATTTCTTTTGAAATCGATTGTTTTTACAGTCTGTGAACACGAATATATGAATATCTGCCCCCCCCCCAAATATCGATCTTCCGGCGTCCCTGTACATAACCCTTTGAAATCTGACAATGGCCATAAGCTCTGAACAGCTTTGTTGGGATATAAACTTCTGAATTCCTCATTTCTGACCATGTTTCTCACACTATTCATAAGCTAGAAAATTCCAGCTCGTCAATGTTTTGACATGTTTCGGCAAATCTAAATCGTATTTCCGGTCAAAAATATCCCGCTGACTTCATTATTAACATCGCAACAGATTGAAATACGGAAATAAAAGATCAAAAACTGAGGCTACAAGCTTGAAAATAATTCTGTAAATAGTGCTTTTGATTGTGAATCGAACAAGATAACAACGAAAAAGATATGTTCGAAGGGGCCGAAGTTGTGTCCGGCAAAGTGTATATGGCTTTAGTGATACATGTTTACATTTTTCGGTAATTCAAGTTTTTGAAATACAGTAGAACCCGGCCACCTCGAACTCCCAAGAAGAACGAAAAATTGTTTGAGTTAGCGAGGGTTCGAATTAACCGGAGTTGGTGTCAGATTTCGTTTATTATGTTAATAATTAATAATTAATAAGGTATAAAAGTTTTATTATACTGTTCATCAAAGTTACAAAAAGTTTAATTGTGCATCCTTATAACTAAAGTATTTTAGTCAGTATCTTTTTAACTTGGGTGATGGAGAAGGCATGCAAGTTCCATGCAAACTAAAGTTCTTTGGACAGGAAAAATATGTAGAGATTTACAAAAGGAACTAAAAAACCGACTAAATTGTTGTTATTTGAATAAAAATCCAAATTACCGGTTGTCAAAATGCTATGTTCTGACATTTTAAGGTTTGCCGCTCCACCACTCGAAAACAAAGTTCGAGTTAACGGGATAAATTTGACCGAGGGAAAACAAAATTTGTTCGAATTAGCGAAGAGTTCGAGTTAAGCGAGTTCGAGTTAGCGGGGGACTACTGTATGATATTTCTTGGACCCTAAAAGGTCATAAATCGCGATAATGTTTGTCTTTGACTATTAAAACTATCGTCAGGACTTACTGTCTTGATATTTTTTCACTGAATCGAAATATCGAATGGTGGTATTTTCATCTACATATTATTTACTGAGCCGAATATATGAACCTGCAAAATAGTATTCCACTATCGACCTAGTTTTCTCAGGGTTAAAACTCACATGTCTACCATGCGCCTTTTTAGCATAGGCGTACGAGGCGGGGGGTGCCCCCCCCCCCAGTTTAGTCAGAAATATTCATTAGTCGGGCAATTTGTACTTAAGAGTCGATCAATCTTCCTGTGTACTGACTAATCAATTAGGTCTTTCCAACAAACAAATGTTATTTGAAAATAGTAAAAATGCGAAATATTTAAAAATATTCAAACTAGAATATATGCTTGCATAAAAGTGACAAAAATAATTAAAATAAACATGCTTTTCCATTCGCGCCACTGGCTATGTACCGTAACTGATTGGCGCACGCGCTAACTAGCGCTAAACAGACATCACTCCAAACGAATCGTGAAGAGACTTTATCATTTTAAAGAAAATCATATATTGAAGCTGTTAATTGTAACAACGTTGTTCACCATGTAGTTATTAAGTAGGTATTATGTCAGCGTATGAAAAATATCACTCATGCCCTGGTATACGCTGACATACGTTTCAAACACGGTCGCATTACTCGCATACGACGGTATACGCTGGCATACGGTGAGACCCGGCGAAATTAAACAGAAAAAATTTTTAAGCATGCTTAAAAATTTTGTGCGTATCCGGACGTATGTTTTATACGATAAGCTTACTCTAGACGCACGCTGAATAAGTAAGTAAGTAAGTAAGTAAGTAAGTGAACTTTATATAACCACGGTAGACTCATCAGGATTTACAATAAAATAGACAAAGGAGATTACAAATAACAAAATATGGAAATGCATTATTAATACCTATATAGAGGTACGCCAGAGGTACGGTACTCATACACTGGCATTTCAACGGACATGGACTCCAGTCTTCTATAAAGAAAATTCCATCTTGTCAACGATTCCAACTACGTCATTGATGTTCTGCAGAGAGATGTTTCAGTGGGTAACGAAGGGTGAGGACGTACCTTCGTTCCACAATGGGTCAAGACAGAATCATTGATGTTTTTGGCCAACGAAGTCACCGTGCCTCACATTTCTTTTGACAGTATACATAATATAATACACGGGATAAACTTGTTGGGGAGATTAGGTTAGGTTTTCGGTAAAAGTTACATTTATGATATTGAAATAGTCATCAGACATAATGTTGCTTCATTAATTTTCTCTTCGTTCCTCGTCCGCTTCAAGCACAAAATTTCCGACCCCAAAACGCAGGAAGTTCTCGCGCCTTCGCCGCTCGTCGGGCAGATTGGCATCTGCCCCCCTTAAATTTCTAAGCCCGTACGCCTATGCTTTTTAGAATGTACATATCCGTTTGAAACCTAAATTCTTTCCCGCCGACAACAACCATACTGTATTAAAGCTGTACTAAACAGCTTTGTTGCCATTGTTGGAATATAATATGAACTTCTGAATTTCTCATTTCTGACACCAGTCATAAGCTACAACAGTTCCAACTATAGTCATAAGCTAAAAAATTCCAGACGTCATCTTATCTGTGGAAACTAGTGAACCACACGTTGTTTTTTTCTAAACAAATAATTATGTTTGCAAACGTACAAATTCACTAAATTCAAGTTGCGATAATGGCGATATTCCGAATGGTGCCGTACAAGTTTTCGAAATTATGCCGAACAAAGGATCGTGGAACTATCGGGCACCATTCAGCAATTCCCCAAGTTTAACAATGCTCATGAAACTTTCAGTATAACATAGTGTCGCCACCCGCGAACGGGCGGAGACACAAAAACTGGCCGTTAAGAAAGATCGTGACTCTATTTTTACGACTCATTACGACTGGAAACCATTAAAGCCTGGTTTCCATATGGTCGTAAACGAAGTGCGATTTCTTCCGCGTTACACGGTGGTGGCAAGCAGAAGATGTATTCTGCATGTGCACGAAGTTTTATCTGGTTTGTAGATCTGCGGCAGCGGAAATCCTTAGCACGGTCAAAATAGACGACCCAGAAGCTTCACTTAATATATAATCCATTATTTTAGTGTTGACCAGAATTCTGCATTAGAACTTTGCGCACCAACTTCAATGTACCATATATTGAGTTAAAATAAATTTCTGTTGGGTATTCATGGGTTAATAACTCATGAATACCCAACCACTAGACATAGCGGGCTTTTTTGGGCATTTTGTGAAGTTTTATACAGTTTTTCAAAAATGAATAATTCACGACTTAGATGCATATTTTTGGACAATGATTACTAAATAATTGTTCAAACACAAAAACTATCTTACTTCTTAAAAGTATCAAAAGGACTTGCTTGTTTTATTGCCAGGAATCATTTGGAGATACTGTTTGAGATGGATTCTAAATTTGTGATTTTCTTGTTCTGTGTAATCTTTATGGTTGAGACAGGGGTCAGAGGTGAAAGTAAATCCAAAAGCAAGGTAAGGATTCTCCTTTTCGTTGTCATTATAGCTAAGCTTCGTATTACTGCAGTATATGGAAATAAATTAAAGCATTTTAATAGACTGACAGTCTGACAACATGCAGCGCTAAAACATATTTTGGTTGCAGTGACAAACCTACTAACCTAGCCTCTGTATACAGACTGTATTAGTCTGTAATACAGCTTGTGGAAATTCGTGGCATTGCTTGTCGACCCCCAGCAGCGCTACCAAGATCTGGGTAGTTGATTCTGATTGGTCACGACCGAATGTAATGGATTTTGATTGGCTAGTCTTAAATATCAACAAACGTTGGAATTTGATTTTCACAATCAAAATAATACTTTCTTGACACTTATAAGCGATGTTCATTGTAAATTTTCTTTCTTTCTTTGTTTCTCGAACTATTTAATTTTCTGTACAGGCTATGACAGACCTATAATATGTCAGTTTAGCTCGGTTTATAATCAACTCTGTTCAATACCAGCTTCTCTTTTGGTTTTGGCTGAGAAACCTTTCAACGATCAAAAATACTTATCGTAGATTTCGTATGCCCCAGAATCGCTCGCATTTGCTTTCGTGCAGCATTAAGAAAAGTAATCGATTAGCGTTATCCTTAACAGTCATTGCTACTATGAATATATCCATTCCAAATTCCTTTCAATTGATGCAAAACAGTGGATAAATCAATAATATGACAATGCAGATAAACCTCACTCCTAATTATAAAGCTGTGACGAGTATGTTATTGGTTATATTCTATTCTAAACAATTTGTTGTTATTTTTACTAGCCTTCTCAGGCAACCTGTGCTTCAGCAGGTATCCCAGGTATCCCAGGTGTTCCAGGAAATCCCGGAAGAGATGGCCTGCCTGGGGCAACTGGTCCTGCTGGGGCGAAAGGAGATCCTGGGAGGCCTGGGAAAACAGGAAATGTAGAACTTGTGACGTCACCTTGGAAACAATGTGTGTGGAAAAGGGCTGATAGCAAAGACACAGGATTGATACAGGTATTAATATCACTATATTTATTATTAAATAATAGATATTTTAGTGGGGAAATTATCCTTGCAAAGCAACCAGAGATGTTGTGCATTTAATGTTTATTATTAGGATAACAAATTATTAAATCATCAATTTGGGCCAAAGGCACTTAACTGATAATATCGCAACCTATAATAACGCAATACGACTGCTTTGCCTTACTTCATCATGCTCCCCTACCTGAACATTTGTTCTGCAATTTGGAAACTTCAGTCTTTAGCTGTTCGGAAAATTGGCACTGGCCAAACTTTATTAATGGGGTGACATCACATGGACATGTACGTGATAAATTATTGTTCTATATAAGACACACAAATTAAAGTTAGGCAACTGAGTGACTGAATTTTGTAATTGGAAAACTATTGCACCAAGCCAGCCAAACACGCACCAGCATTACAGAGCTCTATGTTCTATCAGTACTGTTTAAAACACGAGCAGGATGATGCTTTATCAAATATAAAGTGTGCAGCAAGAGTGTTTTATACCTGATAAAGCTGACAAACTGTGAGTGTTTTACTGAAATGGCTTAAAAAACAACCCATTATATGACAGAGTTCATTGGCGAAGTAATTTTAAAAATAAACATTGTCCAAGCCGAGAAAATCAAAGCTAAAGTTTATGTAAGTGAATATGACTTTATCACATATAAAACCACCCGACACGGCAGTGATATCTTTTGTATTTTCATCATGAATTATTAATAATTTTTAAAGTAGTATTTATAACACGAGAAGGAGTGCTTTATCATGCGCGATGATAAAACGCGAGTTCGAGTGATTTGAATAGCTTAAAATACGACTACAAAAGAATACTAATTAGGATGAACAATTATATAATCAATTATATTAAGAATACTAATGAAGATGAGTTTTATCAGATATAAGTCACTCCACGTGACATATTATGGCTGACATGATTTGCCACAAGGTTTATGAATTTTTAATGAGTATTTTACGGTCACTAACGCACTGGTTATACTAGTGTCTATTGAAGTCGTAGTGAAATCCATTTGAGCTGTTAATAAATTAAAGTGGAATTACCATCATTGGTGAATTCAAGGTAAACCACCAACGAGAATACTTTGAACTTTGGCGGCACAAGGAACTTATTTTAATAATTATTGATGCTATAGATTTGATTAAAATTACCATACACAGGTGTATACTGAAGAAAGCTACGTGTTTGCGCGAAACTGTATGCTCACAGGAGGCCCAGGCTCGATTTGCCCGCGCCCGCCTGTGCCTTCCTTATAACGTGGGAAGGAAGGAGACATTGAGACCAAAATAGCCCAGACTTGGCATATGTCACACGAAACTATCCTCGATTTTTCGCTTTTAATGCATTT